GTTGGTAGGTTGCTCAAAATTTACCCATACCTATTTTAGTCAGCTGCTAACGTCTAACCAACGTTGGTAAGTTATTCAAAATATAACTATACCTATTTTAATCAGTTGTCAATGACTCATCAACATTGGATAATGACTTGAAAACATATCAAACCTTATTAAGTCGTTTTCTAACGGCAAATCAACGTTGGTAAATCGCACAGACTTAAGCAGTAGGTTTGCGAGGTCGACGCAATATTTGGTTTGACGTCCTATTACAACTACAAAATTTAAGTTATTACTCGACTACTATTTGTAATAATTCTGACGTCGGAATTAGTGAAAAAGTAGTCGGTAGTTGGTAAAATGTTGCTTGGGAAGCGCGTTACCCACTCGGCTATAATAACATAGATATTTTTTTAATATAGAACACAAATACAGGGTAAGTTCTAAATGCGCAGTTATATTTTAACCCTCAATATATGCCTGCCAGTACAATTGATTGGCACTGTCAAAAAATTTGTTTGAACAATAAAAATTGAATTTCTGATTATTCTTTCGTTCTCCAGCAACATTTTGATGGTCACTGGATAAATCGGTAAACACCGTTCACAGAAATGATGTTACTGAAGGCAGTGTTGCCACTGCCAGAGTTCGTGAAAATCAAAATAAATTTAAACATGTGTATGTTTCAACTACATTAAAACTGCAAACAGAAGTATTATTGAAAACTAGATAGTGTCCAAACATATAAAGCCTGCGCCAGATTATCAAATATTTGATCAAACTAGATTTAACAAACTGTAAATGTGACGTCACATCACAATCAAATTAATTTCCACCACAAATAGTCAGGGCCTACTGTAGTTTTAAATTGGAACCAAGGAGCGCCTTAGTTGCCTGATAGTAACTGATTTCAAAATAAAACATGTCTTTACTCCATCTAACGAACTTTTCAAACTATGACTATGACGTCACATTCACGGTTTGATAAATTCAGTTTGATCAAATATTTGATAGTCTAACGCCGGTTTTAGATTTTCTGGCATATAATATAAGCTACTTCTAACTAGAAGGTCCTTATGTTAGTAAATGGATTAATGAATATTCTAAGGTACACAAAATTGTTTATGTCTAAAGAGAAAACATTGTTTCAAAATTACTATTTGTTTCATTGAAAAATATTTTAGAATTTTCAAATTTGCTGCCATTCATTACAAAACATTACAATTTGTATTATGTTGTCAGTACAATATTTTTTCTATTCGTGACAACCATGCTAGTAGTATTGTTTTAGTAAATACGATATTAACCCAGGAATCTTCTAGTCTTTTACAAGTGTAACTTTTTGATCAGCGTTAGAATTCCGCCAGGAAAAAAAATAGCAACTATTTAAGATGCTATTTCTCTGCTCTATTTTTAAATAAAAAAAAAAGATTTTATTGGTACTACTATTTTTGCTTTGCACAAAATTTTAATTTTAATTGAAAACAAGATTTATCGGTATTAAAAATAACATATCGTAACAACAAAAAAAATTCTATTCTTTCTCTTAGTTATTCGTATCATAAATCGCCCAAGCCAGTGAGTATGTGACGTCAACCCAATTAGCAAGTACGGGAGAAACGACCGGGGCTATTATGAATCTGTTTCCAGATAAATTTCAAATATTGATAATATGACCTCTAGTCTATGATTTTTCCAAAATGATTACAAATTTGAGAAAGAATAACCAGGTACTGTCTCGTGATACGTATATTTCTGTTACAAATTACCTGAATCGTAATAAAAACTTAATTAGTTTAGTTTATGGGGGAATTTTGCCTTACAAAAGGTGGGATAGTAATGATTTTGGATTATATTGTTTTTGTGACTCTGATGAAAAATAACAAATTTACGACCCTGGGGGGAAAGGGTGATTGCGAGACACCATCTTGAATGAAAGGTGCAAAAACATATTTTTACAGAATAACTAGATTCGTTATATGAGAAAAATGTTCAAATAAAAGTTGTAAAGAATAAAATTTCGCATTTTGTATTTATACGTTTCTTGTAATTTTAACAGGAACTGAGGTACAGTCGAGGAAAGATGCAATTTAACGAAATTTTTACTCCAAAAAACTTCAACTTTATTGTTAGTAAATTTTGCAAATAATCAAATCAAATATTTTGTGTAACATAATACCATAGTATCCTGTACTATTAATAATTATATTTAATAATCGAATTTCAAGTCAGTCAATGTGACAACCAATGAACATCCTGGTTCAGAATGGGCGATTCTTTTCGTTTTCACACGTCATCAGTGTGTGATATGACCAATGACGGCACTCTTAAAATGATTATCAAAACAAAGATTAGAAAAGGAAAAATGATGTGATTAATGTACTGTGTTCATATTAGTTTAGTTCTCAACTGTAAAAGTAAATAGAAAAAAGAAGAAAGTATGAGCGTTTGTTTTGTTCTTAAAAATTCTGATATATATTTGACTAGCATCGTTGTTGACATTAGGTAAATCGAGGTTAACGTTGGCTTTGGTCTAAGTGTTTTGATCTGTTTATATTTTTATTTTAGTTTTGCGATAGTTTAACAATGCCTAAAAGTACTTTTTTTTCATTGAAATAGTTCTTGTCAAAGCTTGAATTTTATTTACAAATAAAATTGTATAAGATTGTTTTTATTTAGCGATTGAACCGCGCTGCTGATTTGAACTCGTTTTTCATTGTCCGGCAGTTTGTGAGATATGTAATGTGAATCGTGAATTCGTCAACAATATACGTAAATGACAGGTTAGTGTAACTCACCCATTGACCTATTAGGTCAATGAACTTGCCAAACATAATGAGACTAACAGTGACTTTTAGAATATATTAGTAAATTAAAGGATTATTTCAAACTATTGTAATCGCATGATAAATAACCAATTGTTAAAAAATAATTATCCTTTTATAAACTTTGAAAAAAACTTAATGGAAACATTAGATTCCACTCAAGATTCCTTAAAAATGTCAGCAGCAGTTCATCGGAAAATTTAATTTTAATTGTACGTGCCATATGAAACAAGGTAATTGATACAATAACAGGGCAAAATTCTATATTTCTTACATTAAAAGGTATTTTAAAATGTTTAAAAATTATTTCAAATTAGCAATTACAATCGCTTAAGTAGGTACTTATTTCATCCCAAATTATTACAAATTAGGTAAGGCACGTACTACGTGATAAGTTGCATAAGAAATGTGGTAACGCTTCAATCCAATACACCATTTCAGATAACACAGAGAATGTTTTGAGTATCCAGCAGTTCCCAAACAGTTTCACTGTATTTTTTTGAGAGTCGATAACGCAATTATAGGTGGGAATTATAAAAGAAAAATGTGTCAGTGGGTTAGGAATCGGTGGTTTAAATATAACTACACAATTAAGACTATATATATACTATTCTCGATATTATCTACAGTTACTTATTTGTGATATCCTACAATGTTTCTTCTCACTTTCTTTGAGTATTATTACTTCCTCATCCCTCAAAGTGAGAAAGTTATGTTTTCGTGAAAAAAATTTGGAAAATTTTTATTGCATTTTTGGACGAATCTCGACGAATTATGACGATACACAAAATTTCAGGCAGAAAAAAAATTATGTCTGTGTGGTTCGCGATAACAGCTACAGTTTTGGAGATAAAGCTTTCAAATTTGGTACACACATTCTAGAGGTCAAGGAAGAGATTTAGTTCGTTGATGAGCAAAATCGGTTTCAATGTCTAAAAAAAATATTAGTGACCTTCCACCAATGTGACTTTTTTGAAACGTCAAAATGCGACTTTTTTGAAACGTCAAAAAATGTGACTTTCTTGAAACGTCAGAAATTACTTTTATTATAAACTCCACCACACGTTGAGTTTTATTACGGTGAGGTAGTTCTGGTCCCCAAGTGATAATTGGCAGCGATTTTTTTGTACAAACAAAAAACTATCATATTTGAAGAAGCCAATTTTTTTTTTTCAAAGAAATTTTTCTCTAATTTTGAGAACGATTCAGAAAGTATTCCGAAACATCAACTCTGAATCATCAACAATATTTGATATTCAAGAGTTTCATTTTTCACACTAATATTTGTTTCGGTTTGAGACATTTTTTGGATACGAAAAGTATTTTTTCATAAAACAACCTCTGACTTGATCCTTGTAGCGCAGAGGTTTATTTATAATTTTTATAAAATAATTTATAGGAGGCTTAATAAAAATAATTTATTTAGAAACATCTTGGAAGACATCTTGAGCTTCTAAATTGTCGATTTCACCTCTGTGTATCGTTAACAATGTCAATAGGAAGTCAGTATCTACAAAATGAAAATGAAAATTGAAAAACTGAAACGGTTGCGAGAGAAACTGTTGTCTGTGTATTATGAAGTTAATGTTGGCTTGAACACTGTGTATAGGGTAGCAACCTACTTATAAAAGCACTGACCTAGTCTTTGCAATTGGGAATGAAACGCTATCTGCAGTATCGTCTCTAGATCGATAGATATTTGACAAAACTGGGACTATCATGGTTTGTGTAATGTGTGGAATACGCAATAATGTTTCCAGACTTGTGGTCGTCATTGTTTATCAGCAAAGCACGCATTCTAAATCTTCTTGGAAACCTATACAAAATTCCTTTAAGATGTAATATTTTAGGTAACAAGACTAAGTCAATATATTTGGAACCTATAACTACAAGTTTATAAAATAATACAGTTAAAAATCTAAAAAAAAAGATATATTAGCTGAAATCCAACCAGTACGCAGTGATCCCAAAATTCGATTAAGTGGCAAAATTCAAAAATATTCGAACTTATTATTTCTCTGTGATATATAGTATTTTTTTTAAATTAAGCACCACAGGTATTACAACCTTCTGTATCCAACCGTGAAGGTACCTTAAGGTACTTTGTATGGGACAGATATTTAGAGAAAATGAACACACACCCAATGTCCTAGTGTGTTAAGTTTATTTTCTGGTTTAGAAAAAAATCATTGCTCCTCGATCGGGGATTGAACCCAGGAATCCAGGGTGGGAGGCAAGTGTTTTACCACTCGACCACAAAGCCGCTAATATCTTAAATCGGTATAGCTGTTACTGAAATCTAGACATCAGACATAATACATCTAACCGCCACCACATCCCAAATGAGGAGCAAACATACAAAACCAGATAAATCCACTTTTGGACTTTTTCGAATTAGGCAGATTATTGTAGAATTTGAGCGACCTTATACATAGATCTGCAATATTAGGATTGGGAAAAAATCTAATAAATCATCAAGACCAAAGTTTCGGGTTTCAAGTAATTATCGAAAATCCAAACACCAAATAAAAGCCGAGAAGTTATTATTCAATTATAAATATTTATGACGAAAGAAGTCACGAGCAATTTGGATAAAAAATTCTTATCAACAATAAAGTTTAATTACAGACCGACGTTTCGGTGGATGGTTCCCACCATATTCAGGGCTACAAGAACCAAATCATGTTTTAAAATTTATCTATTAACTACTGTTCACATTATTTTACAAACCCTTATTTATTTATTACGTAAGTCTGTGCTAGTGATAAAACAAATTATGTTGGGCTTGACATAAAAATTATGTGCCAGCAAAACTGGGGTGAAAATGTAACGGGGAGGGGGCAACTTGACTAACCCAACAATATTCACAAATTCGACAGAACATTCAGAGTAAGAGATTGCTTATATGAAACCAGTGCAGGAAACTATTGGCAAACAAGGAAATAGAAGTCTGCCCAGGAGCTTCATAAATATTTTAAGTCAAAATGCAATACTTTTTTCTTGACTTCTTTAGACATATTTTACAAATAACTATATAAATGATTCTTCTTTTTCTAATCAACCCTTAGCATCCAATGTTGGACATATACCTCCTCTCCTTTCTTCCACTTATCTCTATCCTGGGTTATTTGCATCCATCTTAGTTCAGCTTGTCTTCTTAGGTCGTCTGTCCATCTCATTTATGACCTCTCTCCAGAGACAACCACGAGACATTCAAGTATTTCTATTGTTTCTATTCGGAATATTGCATTAGTCTACTGTTTGGGAAGATCAGAATAGATGGCGTGCACGATGATGAGCCGTGATTTAAAAAAGCGCGCAATGCGTTTTGTTGGCTGTTGTTATATTTTCAATTACATTTTAATGAAGAAATAAAACAAAACAGTTAAAATAAATCGTTTATTGATAGAAAATCAATAAAATAACAAGCCACAACGAATGCAATAATTATGCAGATATTTTAAATAATCTAAACCACAGAAAAATAAATGGCTAAACAAAAGGTATTTTACAATTAAATAATAACGATTATAGTACTTTCCTGAACAGGTACTTATGTAATACAAAACATATATGGCAAGTACAAAAAATATATAAATAAGCCTACCAATAAGAAAAAAATGTACATTTGCTTCCCAACATCTCAGATATATGTATCAACATCGAATAATGCTGCACCTTATTTATACAATGTGGTCTGTAATTTAACAATACTTTTAATAAATATAATAGTAATAATATTTAATTGTTTAGGTAAAGATCACATTAACAAAACATATTACAAACACTGATAGGTCTTTACAAATAAATATACATATTGTTACGTGTTTGCTATCCCCACAAACACCTACGCTCGTAGATTCGTTGATTGAAAGTCCAGGTAACACTTACTCACTACTTTATTTACTAATTAACAATTAACAACAATAGATTAATCACTGTCCTAATTATAATCACAACTGAACACTTATAAGTCTCTTTCGTATTTCTTCTTTACTCGTTCACGTTCGGCTTCAGACTGAGACTCGGCACACCGTGCGTCTTATTTATACATCCATTCACACGATCTAGAGGAGTCCAGAATATTCCCGGCCGTTAGCGTACAATTCCAGTCTCATCTAACCAGTCTACACAGTCCAGTGGCGTAACACTGCCCCCTCCTTAAGCCTGAACGTCCCGATCAGGCAATTCATTATTCCCTGCATACTTAGTTAGTCTCTCTATATGCACCACCTTCATCTTAGATTTTGGATTTTGCTGAATTCTATATACAACGTCGTTTAATCTAGTGACGATAGTGTAAGGTCCTTCCCAAGGGTGGTGAAGTTTCGGGGACCTGCCTCTCTTTCGTTGTGGGTTATATAGCCAAACCAACTCTCCCACCTGGTACCCTCCTGAATTAGCCTTAAGATCATAACGAGCCTTCATGCGGTCACTTGCTATGCTAATTCGCTCAAAATAAGCCCTGGCGTTATATTGCTTATTTCTTATTTGTGGCCCCATTCTTGCCGCGCCAACTTCACATTGGCGGCACCAAGCCTCCACATCTTGACGACTGTTTACCCAGCAGAAACGTTGTCCTACTTTTGTCAGGGTTTTGTTGACGCCAAAATGTCCGCCAGACGTTTCATTATGCACTTGCTGAAGTAAATCTGCTACGTGACACCTGGGGATTAACAATTTCAAAGTAACTTTCCTCCCATCTGGACTTTCCCACGCTCTCTTCAGCAGTCCATCCTCTACTATAAGGGAATCCCATTGTGCCTTCAGCCCCACTGATTTATTTGAAATGTCCTTCCAATCGGGTCGGCTCCCTCTTTCTTTCCATTTCAGAATAGGACCAGTCTCGTTATCGTTTAACTGCGCTTCCCTTAACGACTCTTTTGTCCATAAATCCGGAACATCAATCTTAACGGTCTTCATTATTTGTACATTTTGTTGTTCTTCCTTACGGTGGCAAGGCTTGCAGTCTTTCTCACACGGTCTTTTGGAAAGGCCATCTGCTATATTCCGCGAAGTACCAGCTCGCCAGTTTTCCTGTGGCTTCTCCATTACTGCGACCCTCTCAGGGATGCGCTGACGACAGTTACTCTGAATATGGCCCACTCTGCCACACTTATAACAGCGCATACGTCCTCCACTCTGTCTCCCACTACTTTGCTGTTGGGTTTGTCTTAGATCTTGAATGTTGAGCTCATGACAGTTCCTCTTAATATGGCCCAATTTGCCACACATATAACAAGGGATGCCTCCATTCGGCCTCCCACTTCTTTGTTGTTGGTCTTGTGCCTGCTGGGAGTTCGATTTTGTCAGTAGTTGGGTCATCATCTTGTATAGATCAGATATCAGGTTTTGTGTTGTGTTGTATGGCTTGTCTTCCTCTACACTCACAGCTCGTACTCTCTGATTTGGTTGTGTGGTATCCTCATAGGCAGCCTCAATCTCCAGTGCATGTACTAAAGCCTCACTACTAAGCTTATGCTTGGCCAACTTAAAAATTCGCCTAATTTCTTGATCCCCTTACTCCATCAATAAATGTACCAACTGCTAACTGTTGTTGAAATTCCTTTGGTGCATCAGGATAGGCTAGATGGGCCTAACCTTTCTACCGCAGCCTCGAACTCCTGGAGACTTTCTCCACCTCGTTGTCTGCGTGATTTGAGCTGAGCCTGATATACTTGGGCGAGATGTTGGTCGCCATATCTTAGTTCTAACGCTGCCTCCAGAATGCTAAAGATTTGTTGCTGTGCGGCAGGAATTGTTTGGAGCAAGTCTAACGCTTGGCCTCTTAGTGCTAATACCAATGCTGTTGCTTTTTCTTCATCGTTCCAGTTATTTGAACGTGCAGCTGCCTCGAACTGTCTCTTATAAGTTGACCATTAACTTTGACCGTCGAAGGAAGGTGGTTGTAACCTACTACCAGATGACAGTACTAACTGGCAACCCTTCTCTCTTAATTGTTGTTTGAGTCGGGCTACTTCTTCCTTAACTTCAGTTATTTCTCCTCTAACTTCACTAACTTCTTCTTTAACTTCCATGACTTCAGCCTGTACATCTTCCTTCAATTGTTCAGTGACCGAGAGCATGACTTGATGCTGTACCTCCATAATTTGTCTTAATTCTTCCTGGCGTTCCTTTCTTTGCTCTTCCTTTTCTTCCTGTCGTCTTATTTCCAGGCCTTCGATCATTTATATCAAGTCTTCTTTTTCTTCCTGGCGTTTTCTCTCTTGTTCTTCTTTTTCTTCTTGTTGTCTTCTTTCTTGTTCTTCCTTTTCTTCCTGTCGTCTTATTTCCAGGCCTTCGATCATTTTTATCAAGTCTTCTTTTTCTTCCTGTCGTCTTCTCTCTTGTTCTTCTTTTTCTTCTTGTTATCTTCTCTCTTGTTCAACTTTTTCTTCTTGTCGTCTTCTTTCTTGTTCTCCTTTTTCTTCTTGTCGTCTTCTCGCTTGTTCTTCTTTTTCTTCTTGTCGTCTTCTCTCTTGTTCTTCTTTTTCTTCTTGTCTTTTTCTTTCTTGATCGTTCATTCGTTCCAACAACGCTGCTCACAAGTCCTGTGTTTGTTTCTCCGCCATGCTTCTTGTTATTGGCATTAACTCACGACACGTAAATCAGTTCAAAATAAAATTTATTACACTATTAAGTCCGTAAAATGTTGATATCACGTCTATTTTAATAATGGAATGTTCCAGAAAAATCTCGAAACAGCACTAGAAAGTCTTATTTAGAGTCTATACTTCTTTTGTGTTGACAAAATTAACTTATCTCCACTAATTGTGCAATGGAATGTTCGAGAGTTTTCACAAAATATCACTAAGTCTTGTTTTGAGTCTATAACCCGTTCCCGTTAACACAATTCACGTATCTTCTGTGGTTTCCAAATCGAATGATCTAGAATTGTCACTAAAAGTCACTTATAGTCTCGTTTTTAAGTCTACAACACGTTCCCGTCGACACAATTCACGTATCTCCTGTAGTTTCCAAATTGAATGTTCTAGAATTTTCCCGAAATAGCACTAGTAGTCCTTTTTCTCAGTCTACAACACGTTATTACTAGCGGCACTCGCGTATTTGCAGTTATTTCTAAATCGAATGTTCTAGAAACGTCTCGAAAATCCACTTTAAAGTCACTATTCAGTCCAGAAATAGTCTTCCAAACACTGTCCAGTAGCTTAATTCTCCGTGTTACCACTAATTTCTGAGAAGAACACTGTAGAACCTTTTCGAATATTCCAGAAATTTCTCTTCCAATCCACTTCCGACAC